ATTTATTTAAGAAAATATTATTAATTAAATATTTTTCTAGAACCTGCAAAGTCTACAGAAAGTAAATCGTCCCAAACGGAATATTTTAATATTCGATCCAATGGAAAATAATTTTGAAACCGACAAACTCTACGAAGGAATGATTATGCTTTCAAGAAGTTATGCCTTGTACAACTGATCATAAGACATATTAATTCTGTATTTTATAAAGATTCGTAATTTTTTTCATAATTGTATGAGCACAATTGATAATACATAATCAATTTAGACACAATCAATATAGATAGCCAATGTAAAACATGGCAAATATTTTATGAAATATTATAATAAATTTTTTAGTTTTAATTTTACAACATGTAAATGAAAAAAATATTTCTAGTTATTAAACTAATTATTCTTATTATAATTAAAACCAAAATTACCATAATCTAGATGAATTATTAAATTTTTTAAGCTTTTTTTCTTTAAGCTATTTTTACAATGTAATTGAAAGTTAAGTTGTTGATCGATTAACTCTATTTAAGAAGTACCTATCACGCAAATCTTCAGAGTCTTGAAAATCCTAAAACCTAATAAAATCGAATAGAGGATCGTGCTGTGTACATATTTCGAGGAATATTCTTGGCGTGTGGGTAGAGAGGCAGCTTCAAACATGGCTCTTCAAATAAACATCTAAGTGGTTGTGTACTTCGTAGACCTACACGCAAAGATAACCATATGGCTCTTGCAAAGATATCATCGATCACATATACGTCTCTACCATTGTTTCACCGATATATGTGAATTCTTGCAACATTCAAAGAGCTCTTCGAAATTCAATCCATTCTTGATTACATGTGATGTTCATGTCCAAAATAGCAATTATGAAATACAAAAAGTAACTTCTATCATTTTATCTATCATTTAATTTGTTTACACTTAAGTATTCATTTTAATCAAATGGGTTAAATAAATGATATTCTTAAGATAATTGTGTCAAATTGAAGTATATTTAAAGATGTATTATATTTACTGTTTTTATAATTTTCATATTTATAATGAAAAAATTATGAAAAACTTATAGAATACTCTAAGTCACATTTAAAAATAATAGAAAATATTTAGCAGCGGTTTAGAACATGGACAAAAAATTATTCAAATATAAAATAAAAATGTACTTTAATAAAAATATAATTAAGAAATAATAAAATCTCTCAACTTTTATATAAGTACTTTAAATATATTCAAGATGATTTATGTAAAATTTTATTGCGATAAAGAGATTAATTGTTTTGTTAAATAAAAATTAAATTTTTGTTAAGAGTACAAAATAAGTGGTGATACAAATAAATTAATTTTTGTTTACAGAATTACTAATCTCTGCATAACAATAGAACTTTATATAAATCATCTTAAGTAGTTAAAATACTTACAGAAGCAAAAATTAAGATTTCTGTCATTATTTCTTACTTACACTTTTATTTTTTTTAAATATATTTCTGTTCTCTTTATATTTAAATAATTTTTTACCCAAATTCTAAACCGTTACAAAAATTTTGTATTGCTTTTAAATTACGATCTAGAATAATCTATATCTTTAATATAATTTTTTCATTGTAACTAAAAACTAAAAGTAGGTGTAATCTTAACTATGTTTAATAATGATACAGTATTATTATTGTATATAATAAGAATATTCGAATATTTAATGAAAGAAAATAACGTTAATCTTTGATACTCTTGAATCTTGAAAGATTTTACATCAAGAAATTTTGATTACAAGATTTTCAATATATAACTCATATTTGAAAATAGCAAGATGCAAATATGCGATAAGTTAAAGACATCAAACACTGAATATTATATATAGATACACATAAATTCTACAATACTCATACAATATAAAATTAACATTAAATTTAATTAAAGATAATTCAGCATTATCATTCTTACAATTATGTAAAATTTTCTCAAAGTGTCTTAAAATGTTATTTCGACATTTATATCTGCAGCATCCTACACATCATCTTGGACAGACCAATCTTCTCATAGGACCGCCTACCAGTATTTTCGTGGACCAATCCAGTTAATCCCACTTAATCACAAGTGGTGGTGATTTTTTCAGAAACCTCTCAACATGGCAGAGTCTCATTCAGTCATTCACTTTTATGCTGTTCTGTAGTTGTCTCAAATATTTGTTGTGAAAGTGATAATTTCTTAATAAACAAATTAATCTAAATTAATCTGGATTTTACTTTTAAATTTGTTTTCTATCAAACTTACATTTAATATAATTATGTGTATTTTATTAGTGCAAAGAATAATTAAAAAAGTGAATTAGAGTGAATAGTGAAATAGTTGTATTAGTTGAAGTATAAAAATTACTAGAATTAATATATATATATATATTATTTTTAATAATAATTTTTAATAATAATTATTATTATTATTATAAATCTATATTTTATATTAATAGAGACATATACATATATACATGTATAAAATAGAAACGCGAATTTTCAAATTATTATAAACACAGTTAACTATATTACATGTATTTTTGATAAATTCGTTGAAATAAAAATGAACGTTAATACTCACATTATGGAGAATGGTAATTGTTCTAGACAATTAAAATTTGGCATGGATCGTATATTGTCAAATGAAATTTGTGCAAAAAGGACAGGTAAAAATTAATAGCATTTGAAAATTATAATTTATAAGTATATCTATGTAAAATAAATTTTTACTTTTGTACATTATTAGCAAATTTAAATATGTGTTTTTTAATAATTTAATTTATTAAGTTACATTTCTTTATAATTGAATGTATTGCATGTACTAATTTCTTTTAAACACATTTTTTAAACAAAAATTAAAATTAGAAAAAAATTATTTTCAATTGTAATATTTCTTTCTTGTAATAATAATAATAAAGCTCTACGTATCTAGCTCTATAAATTTTAACCTAATGAAATTAATGCATTAACAGATACTCTCGGGCCGTACACTCTTCCAATACAATTTCCATTAATACGTTGTCCCTACATCGAAAATTGCGGACGATGTGAAAATGTCAAAACTTGCATTTCATTTCCACATAGTCATTCGTCATTACTCGAGGGTATTTCATCTGCATCTTATACTGGAATAACGGAGAGTTTAGGAACTTTATATCGACCGGCACCATTACGTCCCGTACCGAGAGGTAGATTTAATATAATTCAAAATTTATTTATTCAATCTTTATTTAATCCTTTATTTTTAAAAATCATATTTTTCACTATATAATGATAATATATACTAGAACTATTTCTGTAGAAAGCAAACCTTTTGCCATTGAAAATCAAGTCCAAATAAAATCATTATCAAACTATTATTTTTCAATAATTAACACTGTTGTTAACATTGTTGTTCAATTTTTATAAAAATCTATTAAAATAAATTTAATTAATTAAAATTAATTTAAAAATATTGCATCGTCATGCCTTTTGAAGTCTTGATGTCTTTAGTCAAATGCGATTGACTAATTAAATTTGAGTAATAAATCAAATTAATCTTTTACTATATTGACGTTTTATTTATAAATTTTTTAATATGAACGAGTTCAACTTATATGCTTTTATTTTAATACTCCAAATTAATTTCTAATGATATGTAATAATATTTTTAAAATATTTAACTGAGTACCGCAGGTTACATCATTGACAAATGTTACCATATGGACATACTGTCTTGTCCCTCTGATATTCAGAAGCAAGTAGAACAAAATATTTACATGTCAGTGTATTCACGTGTTTCCTGTCTGTGTTTAAACGACATCTTAAGTGCCACCCAGCGTTTATGCATGATGTAAACAGCGGTTTCGATGCGCATTTTCTTGGTTAGTTGAAATCTGGTAGCGCCCACATCTTCCTTTTTTTCGTTTGATAACTTTAATATTTGGAAAATTAGTGATACATACACATATAGTTTTAACTAAAACGTAAAATAAAATAATATATAAATAAATAATATATAAATTTAAAATACACACATATTCAGATATAGAATAAGATTATTTCTTTAACGCTTATACGCACTTGGATAATTATCTATAGTTTTAATAAGTTCGACTTAAAAAAAAATGAAATAATACTGCTACGAATAATAAAACAATAATATATAAATTATTTTTCGAGTTATTATAAATTTTATGTAATTATTAAGAACCTATTTTTTATTATTTTATTATTCTTTTCTGTATATAATTTATATTTCCATTTAAATCATTATATTAATTTCCTGCACAATACAAAAAAAACATATCGAATGTAGCAAAATGTACAAATTAGAAATGCGATTAGAAATCAACAAGAAAACCCCAAAATAACTATGATGTTAAAGCTATCTGTTCGGATTTGTACGGAGGTTCGGTTTGAGTGGGAGTACCACACTGTTTAAATACTTACAGATGTTGTATACAACCATAAATTAGTCCAAAGTACCCTATCTCGAGGGTTTCTTCGATCTGAGATCTGTAGAAACTGACATTCATCTAAAAGTAACATTTATCTTTCATGATCTCCGTTTTCTTATCTCCGTTTAATTTGTAAAATATTCGTAAAATTATCTTTCTCTTTCTTTTCCTAAGAATATATTTAATTTTCTCGACATTAAATCCTCTCTAAATTTTATAAAAATTTTAATTGGTTTCAAGTAAATATTTATATATTTTTAAATTATTATTTGTTAAATTATTAAATATATAACTGAAGAATATTTATATTTGACATGATTAAGTTATTAAATTATCAAGCTATAGTATATAATTCAAAAAATTTATTATTAAAAAATTCAAATATTAATATTCACTTTTTAGCATCTATTTCATCTTCTTCGACGGTAGTCTCTTCAGAAACAAACACACGAAGAAAAAGGTCCTGGTCCAGAGCAGTTTTTAGTTCTTTACAACGAAAAGGTTTAGAAAGAAGATTCTCTCTACAGAAATACATTACGAAACCAGATAGGAGACAATTGGCAGCAACTTTAGGTCTAACCGATGCACAGGTTATATGACTTAAAAAATAATATCTGACATAAGTTCTGTCCGTAAAATAAAACAATTTAAATATTTGTTATTGCATGGGGTTTGTAAAAAGATAATATTAATATTAGAAAAAATCATTTTTATTAAATTTATTTTTTGTGGATCTTAGGTCAAGGTTTGGTTTCAAAATCGTCGCATGAAGTGGCGACATACAAGAGAAAACGAAAACGCTGCGAAATTGGCTGGTCCAGATTCTACGCAAAAAGATCTTCCGCAAAAATTAGTTAAATCCATTACTAATGATACGACGCGACAAGATGAAGATGATATAGAAATTGACGTAGATTTATGAAAACATCACATATATATAACGAAAAACTATATTTTCAATAAAATTATATTTATAGATATTTATCAAAAGCTTAAGAATTATTAGGAAACAATGATATATATATATAATAAATAATAATAAATATAAGTGCTCTCAATATGTTCAATAAAGTATGCAATAATTATCTTTTTAAAAGAAAAAATGATGCATTTATAACATCTATTATAAACAATTTGTTATAATTGTAAAAATAATGCAAATTGCCATTGCATATTTGTATCAATAATTTACTATAAGTTTAATAAAACTTTATATACATATACGTAAAATATTTCTTTAATAACCAGTATTAAATTTGAATACATAATAGTCATGTTTTCCGATATATATTGCCAGTATTGAAAATCTATAATTCACGTTATGTATACTGTAGATTTTCAGTACTGGCAATATATGTCTGAACATAGTCAATATATGCATATGTGTGTGTGTGTGTGTGTGTGTGTGTGTGTGTATTAGAATGAATTTATCAATGTCATGATTTTCTGTTTTTTTCGATATGTTTCCGCGACAACGATTTTGTTATTTCCGCTCTCATCAGTATAAGTATATAACTTAATCTTCATTAAACGTAACAATATTTAGTTATCATTTTAGTTTTTCTAAACTATATTTAGCAACAGGTATGAATATATAATATATAATAAATTTACACATTCATTATATATTAAATAACTTGCATCTGTATTCTTTTCTAATAATCAGTGATTTTTTTTTATATTTTAATTAAATTTTTTACTCAGGATATATAAAACTACATCTTAATATTGTAAAAATATCATAACTACAAAAAAAGATGATACGTTACTTAATGCGATCCATCTTTATTGCTCGACATATTTCATTGCAAATGTATGGAAAATGCTTCTATCGTTCAACAACAAAACTAGCAAATACATTGGCAGCCACTGAGAAAAGTAAATACGTATTACTCAATTCCATTGACATAATAATCGAGTAATATAGTAATTAATTATTCGAATAATTTTATAATTAAATAATTTTCAAGATTTAAGGACATATTGAAGGACATATTAACAAAATTAAAGGACATAATGACATTAAATTAAAGGACATGATAAACTAAAACACTGGAAAATTTAAAAAGAAAATTGTATATAATTGTATCATAATATTATCTATAACTTCATATTTTTTTTTAGCTTCCTCTATGACGCAATCACATGCGATTCCAACAGTGAGTGCAACTGCAACGTCAACAAAAGCAATGCCATTATTGGAAACGATAAATTCTGAGATAACTGCGGAAAGTTTTAAAATTCCTATATCAAAAGTTGAGCCACGTGCTAATATCGAAAAAGCATCATTACCGTTTGAGGAAATTCCTGGCCCAATGATCCTGAAATTATGGGAAAAATATTGGAAATACGTGCCACTCTTGGGTACGCAACTGTTTTGCAGTTTACTAATCAGCAGGCTTACCCAGGGTACGATCCCTTGAAGTTCATTTGCTTGAAATTTGAAGAGATATTTGTTTTATATTTTCAAGTTGATCTCGAGAAATCAAAGAGAGATACAAA